GATATTAAGGGATTAGATGCCCCCTTTTTACTCGTGCTCTTTTTTTTTTTATCTAAAATATTAATATATGTGAAAAATTGGTGATTACAGTTTTATCTCTTTGCTCATTATGTGAAATGAGAATAGATAAAAGATATAAAACACGAATTTTTATCAAATGTAATTGTTTGAAAGTTTTTCAGCTATAAATTTCTCATTATGAATTTTTACCGAAAATGTTGAACTCCCTTCTTTTGAGATGAAATCAAGATGTTGATCAAGTTATTTTCATTATGAATTCCTTTTTTTGAAAATGTTGATCTAACTCATTATGTGATGGAATTGAGGAATGGTTGAAAAAGTTCTTCTCATTATGAACTTTTTATCTTGGAAATATTGATCAATCTCTTTTTATGATGGAATCGAGCAAAGACTAAACAAGTTCTTCTCATTATGAATTTCTTTTCTTAAAAATGTTGATTTAACTTCTTCTGTGATGGAATTGAGCAAAGGCTGAACAAGTTTTTATCATTATGAACTTCTTCTATTGGAACTGCTAATTTATATCATTCTGTGATTGAATCGAGCAAAGGCTGAACAAGTTCTTCTCATTATGAACTTCTTTTTTTGAAAATGTTGATCAATCTCCTTCTGTGATGGAATCGAGCAAAGACTGAAAAGTTCTTCCCATTATGAATTTATTCTCTCTCAGCAGACAAGTACTTCTTATTATGAACCATTCAATTAAAAATGTTTGGTTTATCTTCTATTTGAAGAAATTAATTCTTTGCTGAGATCTACTTCTTTCAAAGGTGAAAATTTGGATTAATTCTTTGCTGAAATTATCTTCTTTCTTACAACATTGTGAAATGAAATCTTAGTTGACCTTTACAATTCTTGTCAAGCTTTCAAAACATGATAAAAAATTGAACATGTATATTTGTTCCTTTTTTTTTACAAATGCCTAAATATGCATGCATGATGTCATTTTAATATTGTGAGCTCCATTGTCTTTTGAATCTTTGCTTTATTCTCTTTGCTGAGCCTTTGTCTTTGTCGAGTCTTCATCTTGTGACAAGTTTTTACTCATTCCCCCAACAATATTGGTCTTTAACATTCAATTTATTTGCCCCCCATTTCTAGTTCTGAGCTTATAAGTCTCAGTAACCTTTGTCAGGTTTCTACGATACCATTCTAGGGAAGTTATTTTGTTTGAAAAATATTTTCCTTCCTTTGAAAAATTTGTTGAAGAAACAAAATAATGTACCTTCTTAGGCTCACAATTGAAGCAAATAACAAAACATTAGTTCACTAATATTAAAAGAATCAACTACTCTTTAAATTTTTCAAAATTATAATCCTTTGACAAGTGTTAAGATTGATGAGTTGATTTCAGGTTAGCTTACTATTTTTCTAAGGTCTCAGTCATCGAGTTATTCTTCTTTTCCCTGTCCTTGGGAATGTTGTGCATGCCCCTTATTTCTGGCTTGACATTTAATCGGATGCGGAAAAAATTCTGCAACTAGTATATTTAATTGCTAGACCTTTTAGAACACTTCTATTTCAATTTTCTAAAATCTTTCATTTGTTTAAACTTCATAGACTCCTTCAGCAGAGGTAATGCGCAAATACTGATCTAAAAACAAAATTCATAGGTGTTTGTGAAATTGACTATAACAAATGTTTCGTAACTCCCTTAGTCCACCTTTCATTGAAACTCTTTTCAGTTCACATTTACTTTAGGCCTTATTGCTTTTCTTTAAATTATACTTCGTTAAGTTTTGTGTTCTTGTATTCACTTTCATTTTGTTGAGAGATTCATCTCGGCACATAAAGACTAGTGTCATGATTTGAATATAATCCTATTCATAAAGTTAGGGCTCTTGATGTAACCCATTACTTTAGCGGAATACCCTAATTAGAGGATTCAAGTGTCAAAAAGTTTTCAACTTGACAACTCGAACGAAACTCACTTCATAAAACTTGGGTATTACCTCCATAGTTGCTTCAAACATTACCTTCGAAGATTAACAACTTAATACTTTCAACGAAGTGCCCGTAGAAAAGTTAAAATTGACTTTCATTATTTACTTGAGTTTTTTTATTTTAAGATTTCTTCCATCGGTTCACCTCAATACTTTGTCCTCAAAATTACTTCTTTAAAAAAATAGCAATGTAAATATATTATATAATTATAGATGATTTTAAATATATTTAATAATAACATTATAAATATTGTTTAGACGTATGAAAAAGAATATGAAGAAATATATAATGTATATTGTATAAGGGTAGAGAGAATTATTTATACTAGAACCAATTAATACTACAATATTAAAAATAATTATATTTAAACTTGAATTGAAACTCGAACAAACATTTTCGTTTCAAATAAAATTTTCATAAACTCCATTTGAAAAAAATCAGTGGTCGGCACTTGGCACAACATTTAACAGAACAAATCTCCAAGTTTAAATCTTTAACTGGGTCGTGGGGCAAAGATGTCTCCTTTTGTTTCGTTAAAAATCCTTTGATTCTTTCAAAGTGGAAGGTCAGTTCATCTCTATCTAAGATAAGATTAGGCAAAGCTTGGAGAAAGTAAAAAAGTGGAATAATAGCACAAGAAAACAGAAGTTGAGTGATGTATTTGGATAGAGCACATGATGAAAAAGTCAAAAGCAAACTTAGTGTTGTGCAGAACAAGATGGTTGCACGCACCTTCTTTTTCTTCCTATTCAACGGGAACGCAAGTGGTGTTTTAACCCAAAAAGAAAGGGGAGAGAATGCCTAAACCTCTCTTTATTTTATGAGTCGAATCTATGTCTACTCTACTCCAATCAAATATATATGCTTCTTCTCCTCATTGTTGAAGTATGCAGTTATTTCACAATTACATCACACCATCATCAATTGCTCAAATACTATAATCTTTCACAAAGATGGTTGATCAGAAAATAGTAAAGAAAAGCATTTATAAACTATTTTTATTTCAATGCAAGCTTGTATGAAATATATAAACCCACTCGAATCAAACAAACCTCATGCCAACTATCAAGTGAAGACAGGAGAGCCACATTTAATTCAGATATTTGATGTATAAATTAATAACATTTCTAAGCATTTTGAGGCACCTCATTGGATTAAAAATTCAATAACATAGTACCAGTGGCCAACATAACAAAATAACTTCCACCCCTTAACAAATACATAAACACACGTCAACCCGTTTTCATCAACCTAGCCCATTTCCATTATACTTGAACACAACCCCCAGTAATACAATAAAACAGGGTTTTATCAACTCATCAGACACCAAGGGTACCGACCGAGTAAACAACAGGCTATACTTTAGCTTCCTCATTCAAAAAAATTCGTGTTTCTTCCCTTTCAATTTCTGCTTCATACTCGTAAGCTTGATGTTAAAATCGTATGTCTCCAACATGATGTACCAACAAAGCAGAGCATAATTTCCATGTGTTGGAGTCGAACCAGATTCCTAAAAACGTAGTACGAGTTACCTCTTAAGGTTTTGATTCGGATAGGCTCAGATGGTCCGAGGATAATTTCTCAATCGGGGGTTCTCGGTTCATAGACTTGATAGGGGTTATTGGTGTTGTTGCCCCTGTTTTGACTCGCTTAGGATCCACAACTCTATATACTCGATAATACTATCTAAGAGGCGGCAGTGGAAGTAAGCAATGATCTCCCCACCTGAAATTTATTACATAAGAATGAACAAGAGGTTCGCCTTAATCTCCAGATCATAAATAGAAAGGAAAAATCATGACATAGTGGAAGAACGAGTAGGCCAGAAATGAACACATTACTATTTGATAACTGTTTCTAGTAACGCTTATGAAGAACCCTTGTAAGTGGTCAGGAGAGAGAGTTTGCTCAAGAATGATCAGCAGGAGAATTCTAGATCACTTTCTCCCACATTTGAGCAGAAAGATTGAATAATGGCCAGTTTGAAAGTAAGACTCTCCACTGGATTGTTGTCAGTGTTGAAAAATATCACTGCACCCCTCTCCAACATGCCCTAGTTTTACAAAGACGAGTATTACATGCTAAAAGTGCTCAAAGGATTCAGCATCAGAAAACTAATATGATCAACGTGCGCATGCGGCATCCAATAGAAATCTAAACAAATTCAATCATTGTCAAAAATCCCATGACATTAACAATCAACACTCGATCTTTGATGAACACAACTAACCTTTTGGATGCAAGGAAGACATCGAGAAACAGCATTATCGATATGATCACTTAGCTGAGGATGCTGAGCCCTTCGTCTATCATTTTGATCTAGCTCCTCCTTTCACAATCACCTTAATCAATGCACACAAGTAACACCATCAAATTTACAAAAATTCTACCCATACAAAAATAAGTACAGACTTGTAACAAGTTACAACATAAAGATCAACAAATATTTGATAACTACTAAGAATCCAGGTTGCTTCAACTTTCACTAAATTACCAATCAATAACTACTCATTAACTTCAATATTTTAAGACAAATATTTCCTAAAATATCTTCTTCTTCTTCTTCTTTTAAACAATAACACAATTTTATCAGTCAAATCTTTTATTTTTAATTTTTAAATCAAGTAAAAGCAAGGAAGTATGTACCTTTAGCAGATTGGTCATCTTTCTTCTCCATTCAACCACCTGGAAAAACAAAACAAAAATGAACTCATCCTGCTGCTCGTCGCAGTTTAATTTCCGACACCATTTTGAAGGTTATATAAGAAGAGAAAGGATGCTGAAATTACCTTAAACTTTGAACGCTTCTTCAAATTTAGTTAACAAATATTGTAGTTCTACTTCAGAAACTAGGAAATGGAGTTAAAAATGTACAATATTATGATCAGATGTAGGAGAAATACAAGAGGACACGCGTTTGAAGGTTATTGCATGCATAAAGTCAAAGATACAAAAACTAAAAGTCCTAACAACATGAACATCAAGAGCAGCAAAAGGTAAAAAGGGACAAAGAAGTTTAATATTTACAGAAAACTTTAGGACTGAACAGCATTGCAATCAAGCAACTTAAAGTTAGTAGGGGCGTTAGGTCCGCGCAGCTTCAACGCCGCTTGATCATAAGCAACGGCCGCTTCTTCCGCCGTATCGAAAGTGCCCAACCAATGCCTCATCCTCCGACCATCCCTAATCTCCGCCGCCCATCTTCCCCACGGCCTTTGTCTCACCCCTATGTACCTCTTCACCTTTCCCTGGCTCGACCCCTCAATTACGTCGTTCTCTTTCTCCGAAACTCCGATGGTGATTTCGTTGATAAGCTTTTTCTTAGGTAGCTTCTGGGTCTTCTTCGGAGAAACCGCTTCGTCGTCGCTGGAAGAATCGGTAGCGTCGGCGTCCGCAACGATTATTCGAACAATTCGCCGGGAAGTCGGGTATTGGGGTTTTCCGTTGGGCTGCGGCGGCGACGACATAATTTTTAGGGCTCTTTTTTAATTTAATTTATTTAATGAGAGAGAAGGTGGAATTATATGGTTTTTCTGTTGGAATATTCTTCTGAATTTTTAAACCGCCGGCATAAAAATCATTTTATATTGCATTTCATCCTATATCTTATATTATATATTTAACTGTTAAATAAAATAATATTATTTTTTATTAATTTTAAGTTCAATTAATTATATCTATAAGATAGGAATCTATTAATAATTAAAAAAAATTCTATTACAATCACATTTAATTATTAAATAAATGCATTTTAGTTAACGGTAGCAAATTCCACAATCAAATTCTATGAATCGAGCTAGCAATTCCTACATTTCCAAAATCGGAACAATTCAAGAAATTGAGACCACACACAATAAATCCAAGGAAATATTCAAACATTAAGGAACTGGAAGTTGAAATAAACAAGCATTAGCCATTTATTTGCTTAATTATATTTCTGTCATGAGCTCGAACGCTATTATTACCGAATCATTAATATTTTTTATTTTTTGGTTAGTATAATCATCGGTATATTATCTATTCGGATCGGGTATTGCAGAGGCAAGAGCAATCATTTCAATTCAATTTGCTTCATTTGAAATCAACAGGATTCGAATCACTAACATTACTTAAGGAATCCAATGTCTCATCGGGTCTAATTGTTGGTATAATATTTTTACTTTTAAATTAATGTATTTAACATAAATAATAAAAAAATTAACACAATAAAAAATTAATGTATTTAACATCTGAATGGCCTTAATTATTGGAGATCACATCAGCATAAATATGATTTTTTTTTTATGCTAGCGCGACAATTTGGCTGACATTAAGTATGTCCATCTATACAATTACTTATCTTATTAAAATAAAACGTACGAGATTATACCTAAATAAAACACCTAACCATCTTTGGTCGAAAACAGGAAAGCGTCCTTAATTAGGAATATAACTCATTCATTGCTTTCATTTTTGCTCATATTATCAAACCACAACTTTTTATGGGAAAATTGTCATTTATGCATCCATACAAGAAGATCTTTACGCCATTAATTTTTCTCCAAAAACGCATCTTACAAAATGAATCAAGATTCCTTCTTCGCCAGAAAAAAACAAAATCAACTTCGGATCTCTCAGCAATAATTGAACTCAGGGATCGGGAAATATCTGGCCACATCGCTGGAAGTTGCTCAAAGAGAGGACTAATGTACGCCGGATAATGTTCTTTCACTACAGTACCAACCTAAAATACAAGATTATACACCAAGGTTTCACGCAGCAGGGCTGCAGAGCATGGGCAAGAATGGAAGTTGTTAGCCAAGTTTTTCGCTTCAATAATAACCTGAAATTTGGAATAACTGAATACTGCATTACCAGCTATGCCGGTCAAGGATTTGTTTTGTTTGGCTAAAAGATTGGAGATGCTTAATTAACTCCTCCTTCAGTGACTTAATGCTTTAATGAAAAAAAATAAAATGAAACGCTCCAGGAACCTATGTTACTCAAAATCGGGTGTTGACTGCGAATACTACCAATTTTTCTGAGTTTTTCCATTTATTTGGAAAATCCTAAGTATTCTATATCTCCATGTCCATGTATAGGACATCACTATCAGATGCGGATAAGGATAAAGAAAATGCCAAAGCAACATAGCTTGGGGAAGAGTACTTAAAATGGGTTCATGACACCTTTTGACTTCTCTACTTCGACTGCCAATTTCAGAAAACTGGGTCGCACACCTACATGAAACTTTTAATCTGAAGAAGGTTCGGTTAGGCATTGTGATGAAAAAAAGAAATATTGTGGTTTGTAAAAAAGTGGTAGAAACAAATTTCTTTACTCGAAAGCTATTTGGTGCCAAATCCAATCAGCATGGGTTGGGAAAAAAGAGAGGAACTCTATCCTTTCTAACTGCAAAAGTTGTACAACTTACTGTCTAGACAAGTTTAGGTGGGAAATCCAAAGCAACTCAAATGCATCAAAAACTAGCCATATCAAAGCGCATAAATTCCTAAAGAAAACCAAGCATACTTGAAGTGAACATAGAATTAAATTGTGCTCATACAGGTATGTTACTTAACAGTATAAGGCTTACTCCAAATCATTGTCACTCTGGGTGCTTCCAGTCTCCTGTGCATACGAATGCTTCCTCGAATACATGAAATTGAAAACATCAACATACCAGCCACATGATCGCAAAACTGAAGAAGCTTTGTTTTTCAAGGTAAATTTTGTACCGGATTCAAACATGTGAAAATAATAAACTTCATTAAAAGGAATAAAAAACCAACTTCTGACAAGTTAAACACAACCCAGGCATAGGTGAATAGTAAAGAAATCCTACATAACTTTGACAAGTTAAACCTGGATTACTAGGGCCAAATGCCGTAAAGCAAAATACCCTAGTTCTAACCAAATGACCTCACACTTCAAAGAAATTTCAGGCATGAAAAACCACAAAAAAAAAACAATATTAAAATACAGTGAACCTCTCAAGTCACAAAAGTACATGCAACATCTAGATAAAAGGCACCCCTAAAGCAATTGAGATAAGTAGCTTACATTTCCTTCATATTTTCAACTTCTGCTCGAGATTGAGCATCCCGGGAAAACAAAATACAGGATTTTCCCATTGGCATGGAGAAATCACCAGTGTCTTCTGTTTTCTTTAACCTTGAGTGATCACAGGAGTCTTTAAATTTTCTGTTTCCCTCTAAGTTAGAGGAGCAGTCTTTTGGCTTTGTCATTGGAACAGAGTATTCAGAAGAGTCATATGATTTTCTTTTTGGCCCTGAGAAATTACATCATAAGAATCCTCTGATTTTCTCTTTGGCACTGAAATAGCACAAGAGTTCTCTGAACTTTTCTTTTTCCCTGGGTTATTAGAGATATCAGAAAGAGCAGTATCAATCTGCCCTACAACTGCCACGCTCCTGGTTCTATTAACTACAAAAGAATCTGATTTAGTTCCATTTGTCAATGCAACTTGGGGGCTATTTCCTACAGAAACAGCATCAACTTTTCCATTTTTTTAAGTACCATTCCTGTTCAACGATGACAGTTTTTTTTTTTTGTCTTTCCTCTCTGTCGTAACGTTTCTGCGGTGAATTCGTTAGACTTAAAAAAAATTAAGTTTTAGGGGAAAGGCGATGAAATATGATTTTGAAAAACGATTTGATGTTGGAGTCGTCACCAACTATTAAGTTAGGTATGTTGGAAACCTTAAAAAAACGGTCTTCAAAGATTTGTTTTTAAGGATTCGGGAGTCGATTACGTGTGGGGAAGGGTGAATACCCCACAACGGCCAAATTTTGGTACCTAAACGATTACACGTTGTTTAAATATTGGGAATTACAAACTTAAAAATGTATTTAAATTATTATCCTTTTATCCATTCGAATTTATTTTATTCAAAAAGTGTGAACAATCTTCGGGAAAACATTTCCTTTATAGTTATGAGACTTTCCCATAGATTCTCCTCACAAAAACGTTATTTCAATTTTTTTGCAAAGATAAAATAAAATAAAACAAAATAAAAATGAAAAAAGGTAAAAAATAATCAAAATAAATTACGTAAAGGTAAAATGAAGAAAAACATTTGTGAGGAAAATCATCGAAAAGATACATTCCCTTATAGTTTGGAGATGTCTTCGTAGATTTCTCTCACAATGAAAGTTTACCCTTTTTGTATATTAGAAAAAAATGATGGTTCATTAAAATGCTAATAAATATTTAAATGTTCACATAATAAAACAAAGAAAAATAAAAATTTCCATACAAATAATACTTATAACAAATACGTAATTTATATACAAACATATATGAAATTATAATGATCGATAAAACAGAAACTTTACAAAATAAAGGACTAAATCATTTACAAATTTGGACTAAAATGCACATTTACAAACATGACAGACTAAACTACAAAAAAAAATATAGACATGCTTAGTAAAATAAAGGACTAAATCATCAAAACAAAAACTTTAAGGTCGTAATAATAACTAAACATAAAATCATAGCTAATACACAAATATTATTTAATATGAGTACTAAACCCGAAATAAAACCCAAAGTTACATTCAGGACCAAAATGAAACAAAATAGAAATTCGTAAGGTAAATAAAAATTATACCTAAAAGCCACAATATACAAAGCCGAGACTAAAATGAATGAACTACAAATACTATGACTAGAGTCCAAAATCAACATAAATAGCATAATATATAGGATAATGGCTTAAATGGAAACATTGAAAGATAAATGATCAAAGTAGAATATCACAAAAGGTTCATTAGTGGCTAAAATAAAATGCTACAGATAAAGAGGGATCTGAAAAGAAATTAACCCACAAAAATTACAAAGACACGGGTGAGATTACAAAAGGTGAAGGACCGAAACTGCCAATAACCACAAACTCAAAACACGCTAATCTTCTTTGGCAAAACGACGTCACTTCGTGCGTGGATTATATAACCCAATTAAGCCCGAAAATCCCAGCAGCTCTCATTTTCCCTTAACCCTAAATAACATCTCCCTCTCCCTCTTTTCTTTCTCTCTTCGCATCACCACCGCAAGAGACATAAACGTAGTTCCCCAGCCACCGTAAATCGGTGGCCATGGGGAACAAAATATCCTTAGAAGCCCTCATTATCACCTCTCATTCGAATCGAAAACCAAACCTAAACCCAGAGTACACAACCCCTCACCCTAGTTCTAAAAGGTCTAGTGGTTACCTTCGAATCTCGGTGAACTTGACTCGGTGAAAATCCCGATGGTGACTACTCGAATGTTTCTCCGTATTCTATATTTTTCTGCCCCCCGAGTGCTTTCCTCTTCATTTTTCCCAATGGTTGATTTTCCTTGATTTATGGCTGCTTTGGTAGATCGGTTGTAGGGTAATTATTTTCCCTAACTTGAACAAGTGAGATACCTGATTTTCAGGATTTAACTCGGTATTTTAATGGGTTTAGGTTCACTGTTGATG